ACCTGAGACAATGAGAAGCAGTAGCAACATGTTGGTGAACGAAATCGTCTTCGCAGCCATATCTCCAACGTAGTCTCAACTCTATCTTTTTTGTTTCTTTTGCCAACGGTAGTCTCAACTCTAGCAGTTTATAGTTGTACTTTATATGCTTCTTGTAATTTTGTTCATTGGAATATATAGAGGGAGAGGGATACATCAGTATAGTAGGTACATTAATATTTAATAATTGAGCACAAGACTCTAATTAATGGCTAATAAATACTGGGGATTCCAAATTTGTCATGATGCATGAATGGGATCATTGGGAATGATGTATTTAATGACATTTATGTCTCTCAAATTTGGAAAGATCATATTTCTCTGTGTATCCTATACCCCTCCAAATTAAGAAATGTATTAAAATGTTTTCTATATTTGTTCTTATTATAAAAAAAGTATTCAAAATATGCTTTATATTTTTTCTCACTTATTTACTTTATTTGTCTCTATATTTATTAAGTCAATAAGAGTAAAATTAAAAAAAAAGCTCATTAATTACTCTTCAAGTGACTTATATTTTGAAAAAGAAAAATTTCTACAAGTGACCTACAAATAAAAACAAAATTTTACTTTCAATTTAAAGTTGTCTTAATATTAAGTGTTTTTAAAGTTTGCTTTTGATTATTTATGTTCTTTTCTTTGCTATACTCTCTCTCTCTCATCACATTTTCCAATATATTTTCTTTCATTTATTTTCTCATCTATTATAACAGTATATTTAAGAACAAAAGTATATTTTTAAACTATTTATTTTTATAACTAATTTTTTTGTTGTATGTAATCTAGTTAATTTTTTTGGACCTTGAATGTAATCTAGTTAATTGAAACTTATAATAAGTACCGCTTTAGTCGACAATATACATCATTTTAACTAATTCATGAAGATCAAAAAATGGTAGTTAGCTCATTAAATATATGTCTCAATTTCAAAAAAAATTTCAACTTTACCCAAACAAAATGAGGCTGTGAAAGAGAGAAAAACACAATAAATTATATTTAAGTATTAATTGCTAGGACAAAATTAATAAATAAGCATTAATTACTCACCTAGTGACTTGTATTCTAAACTCAACCATTTTTCTGAGAGTGACTTATATTATGAATGGAAGGTAGTATACATGGTCGAATTATAATTAAAAAAGTTGGTCAAAATTGATTAAAAGTTGAATGTATAAAAACATATTTTATTTTCTAGAAATGTCGATATTTCTCAAGAGGGTGTGCGTAAAAGAGTGTGTGATTAGGAAAAAATAAGAGAGAATACATTATAAATTTAAATATTTTCGATTAGGTAAAATCAGAATGGGTTCTTATTTTAAAATAAAAGCTATTAATATAAATTTACCCTATTTTCAGGTAAAATTAATAACTTACCGACCTTTTTTTAATTTAGGAGAGATAGTCAGTGGCGCTTTGTAACAGGGATTGAAGGAATAATGAAGTATTATATTAACTTATATTTAAAATAAGAACCCACTCTCTAATAAGAAACTTAAATGTCATTTTGCCCCAGTTTTGCAATGGCCAATTTTCTATGAAGAGCCTCTCCCAATCCCCGTCCCTGGAATCAGGTTAGGCGATTAAACTAATTAACGAAATAGGGATTCAAAATTTATTAGTTAGTTTGATGGCTATTAATTCTTTTTTTTTTTGCCAACGGTTTGATGGCTATTAAAACAAGCAGGAATTAAAATAATACTACTTCTAGTTTTAATTATAAAACCTCATTTATAGTTTATAAACGAGGTTTTATAATTAGGATCGGAGGTAGTATAATTTAATTTGATATATTGAAGTATTATATTGCTTAAATTAAATGATAACAAATTAAACCCATATGTATTAATAATTTTATACAAGAAAAAACTCACTTAAAAATAACATAATTTTGACTAGCAATTAAAAAAATTGGAAAAAAAAATGAAGTAGGAAATGGACCAGATTCAAACTTTATAGCAAAAAGTGAAAATTGACCCTCCGCTTGTTGATTCTTCATATATTTCTTCAGCTTCATAAACAAAAAAAAAAAAAAATTGTCATGGCAATTATATTTCAGGCTTGTTACCTAATACAAACATGTTAAAATAATTGTTCTTCAAAGGAGGTACGTGGACCAATTAAAAACGAGTTGGGGATGCCGGGAGTTGGCCATCTTCCTGTTGTAACTACAATTTCTTAAAAACTCGTATGAGCCTTGAGAAGACCAAAAGCCTAATACAACCGGTAAATACACTTAAAAAAAAAAAAGAAGTTGATATTTAGTAGGTAACGAGCATGATTGTCTCTAATAAAATACTTCTTCTTATACTATTTATAAGCTTTAAATTTGAAAAGGAATATAGTCCATTCTGTAAGTTTTAATTTGGATTTGTCTTAAATTATTTAATATTTTTTTTAATATTGCTGTTAATTATTTCTCTCTTATCACATTTACACACATATTCCCTTTCATATTTTTTCTCATTTATTATAAGGATATATCTGAAAATAAAAATATATTTATAACCTATTTATTATTTTTAACTAATTATTTATTATCTCGAGATTAGAGCAGACAAAGTAGTATCTTTGTTTTATTTTACGAAGTTTTCCTGATTGTCACCATTAGTCAAATTATCATGTTAGCTGATAGCCTCTGCTCTTTTTTTTGTAAAATAAACTTGTGACACCACGCTCAACATGGTTAAATCACAATCTAATAGCTAATATTTTTTTTTAATTAAGACTTAATTGAAGAAGTGTCAAATCTCAATTAAGGGATCCAAGAAACACAAAAGTAGTAGTGGAAATCTGCTAAATAGTAGTAAACAACAACAAAGACAAAATAAATACTCTAAAACTAAATATCCAGCACCATGAATCTCTTCTGTCCGCCTCAATATCAGTACCTCAACAGGAATTGAAAGACTAAGAATGAGCAACCGATAACAATTTATTTATATATTTATTTAATAGGACGGCTCAATAACACATGCTCATATAATAGTTTTATAAGTTTGGTCAACAATTAAAGTTGACACAATTACAATAAACAGTGTCGTCAACGGGAACGCAATCTCCTCTGGCTGAGCTTCCATGTCTCTCTTTACACTTTTTCGTACAGTCTTCCACCTTGCAACTCCCTTCACCGATTATTTCAGAACAGTTCGGGCTCCCCTCCTCACTTGACGCCCTCATGGCTGCAAATATTTATACACACAAACTCACACAAATTATAAATAATGCAATTCATTTATCTGATTTTGTATATTCTAATACGAAACCAACTCTATTAATCAGCTATCGAACCTGAAACAACGATGAGGACAAACAGCAGAACGTGCACTGAAGAAATTATGTTCTTGGCCATTCTCCAAGTTGATCAGAGGCAAGAAACTATAACGATTCAAATTAGTTATTGGATGGTTGTTGTGGAATGTTATCATATGTGTGTGTGTGTATATATGGTGTGGTTTAAAAGGGGAACTAAATTAACACTACCGATATGAAGGAAAAAAAATGGTAGAAAGTTTTAAAAATATTGGTAGTTATGGGTCCAAAAATAATGGCTAGTAAATTGCATTCAATGTTCAAACCTTCTAATGATGCATGAATGGGGTCATTTGGAATGTATTTAATGACATTCATATGCTTCTCTTAGTTTCTTGAGCACATGACTCATATTGATAAGTACTGCTCAAAACCTCTATATAAGATATAGATAAACTGAAGGCTTGTTAAACTAAATAAATGTATAAAAATATACTAATATGAGAGTCTTATATTTAGGAGTGGAGGAGTAATTACTTTTGGAGAGGAAGCGGGTAAAATATGTGTGAGTAGGCAGAGAGAGAGAGAGAGAGAATGTAATATAAATCTAGCTTTTTTTAAAAAAAAAATATATGAGTGAGAATCAGAAATTTATTCTATTTTCAAATAAAATTAATGATTTAACCATATTTTTTATTGATTTAGATGAGATAGTTAGGAGTAGTATATTAACTTCTATTTTAAGGTAAGAATTGAAAGTGTTCATACCAATAAAAAAAATAATCTAGTAGTGATGTAAAATCTCGCTAAATGTTTTTGGTCTCAAATTCAAGTATCAAAAGAGAAACTTTTGTAGAGATACAAAGCTACGAATTACAATCCAGATTAGTTGGATGATAATATAAATAAATAAAAAATTGAAGTGTTTATAATTCTTCAAAGGAGGCATGTCAAACCAGTTAAGAATGAGCTGGTGATGCTGACCGTTCACCCAACATTCCAGTTTAACCTTCTTTGTTGTGCAGCTGTGATTTTTGAAGAACTCAGATAAGCTTTGACAAGTTCAAAAGCCTAATACAACTTGTAAACGCACTTAAAAAAGCCAATATTTAGTACCCAGCGAACAAGATTACTTTTAATAGAAGGATTGAAAAAAATTATCAAACACTTGATTACTGCTTCCACCCATGTTTCATCGATATGCTACGATGCAAATCTCAAGTGTAGCCAACACACAATCTTGCAAATTCGATCTTTCACATTCAAGAATTTAGCGACAAGTGACAAAAACTGACGAAAAAGAATGTGACTATGTATGAACTCACACTTCATCTTTACACCCACCATATCTTTCTTCTTTATTTCTTTTTCAATATATTAAATACATTCATCTTTAAGAATATAAAACATCCAGATTCACAATCCTCATTACAAATAGATATAACACAGCTCAAACACAAAATCCAAAAAGGGTCGATGTTTTTGGCATCAACCATACACGAATGAGTTCTGATGTTAAGATTCTCCCTTCAACTTCCCCATAACAATCTAGTCCACAGACCTCACGACACATTTGGCTCCAAATCAGGCATATGAAACTTAATCTACAGTCACTTTCATATAATACATATATAATACATTATATTTGGGCAAAAAAAGGATAAAGCATTATCTATGCTTTCTCTTTCTGCTATTCTAGACAGTGAGGGGGATAAAAATCAAACCAAGACATGCTATTTACTATTCACATAACCTACAGCCAATCTCTAAACAGTACTTAATATCTAGGACTACACAAGTCATTTGTCTATAAAGTCTACATTAATATCTTCAAAACAAGAGAAGACACAGAATGACACAACAGAGGAGAAAGAAAGATACTCTGCTCAGAGACTTGTCAATGAGCATTTCCTGCCTTCTCATTCTATGACTGTCACTCCTAATATGAGGGTAGTAACGGGCATAACGATGCGCCAATGAATTAGAACCGGAACTCCCAAAGATCCCTGCAAAGACCGTTTCCCTGAACATATCAATAATAGGATAGGAGAGACTAGTCAGGGCTGCAACACCAAGATATGGTGTTCTATTAATAGCATATCCTCCATAAAGGTGAGGCAAGTATTGCTGCGTTTGCGACTGGAAGTAGCTTGGGAGTTGACCCAGTTGAGAAGTAGATGCACTTGGAGAATTTAAGGTAGCATTCGATGTGTGAGGAGGCGGTCTACGAGGTATTCCTATATCCATCTGGGTTTTCTTGGGCTCAGAATCCGAACTATGCGCACCTCTGCCATAAAGAGGGACTAATGAAGTATGAGAGAGATCGGCTTTACAAACTGGGCATGTAGGTTGCAGCTGGTCTGATTCATCGGAAGAGTCCTGAACTTGAAGCCACTTGAATATGCAAGGCCAGCAGTACAAGTGACCGCACAGAGTGACCACAGGATCATGAGCTGACTCCAAACATATGTTGCACTCAAAGCAACCATGGTCACTATCAGCAGTGCTAGTCTGTGAAGAAATTGATTTCAAATTTTTCCTCCTTGAGACACCCCCATTACAGTCAAAGCACGCCGGTTCCATTTTTGTTTCCAGTTCTACAGCAATTTGCCCTGTAACAACTTTTAACTTTTCTTTAAGAGAGGGCCAAGGAAAAAAACCAATTGGGTGGATATATGTAGTTTCAATGAGTGCAAGATCTCTTTAGCATATAACAAGAACATATGTTTTTTTGTTTTCAATATGGAAGAAATAACATTTACATGCAGCAACATAGCAAGGCAAAAGAATATGCATATGTCACCAATGCGGAAGATATCACCAAACATTTCTCTTTCCTTTCTGTTGTTTTAGGTAAAACAATTGATAATAAGCTCAAAAATTGAACATATCAACGAGCCATACTGGATCAAATATATCAAAGCAGATCCAACTTTAAAAGTTCCCTAGATCCAATTATCATGGAAAATAATCCATAGATGAAATCGTCATCTCCATGCAGAGAAAGAAAGGAAGAGGAAAAGGGTTTGAAAGAAATTGATAGAAAATCAAGTTGAAAATATTGCTAGGAAACACAAATCTATGTAATTTATTCAGAGAAAAATGATAGCTTCGATCTATATAACTGAAACATATCAAAGAATTGTATCACCAAAAAAAGAAGAAGAAGAAGAAGAAGAAGAAACATATCAAAGAATTAAACGAAATTGCACACACATTAAGCTACGAAGAAACTTTGAATTCAATGTACCATGAAAGAGAAGGAAATAGCTCTTCATTTAAAAGCGATAACATTGTTCATCCAAAGAAACGCTTCTCAATAATAGCTTTAGTCAAGGGAACAAAATCCCAGAAGACTTTCACGCTAAGGCGCCGGCAATAGTAATGAAAAGAATAGAAAGTAAGATATTTGAAGGCATACGAAGATACAGCTGGATTCCATTATTTGGAACTTCTTCAGGAAACAAATTCAACCAAAGCACATGCAGAATCAGAGCTTAAAATTTGAATACAATAAACAAAAACCGGTATCGAGGTTAATCAAGAGCAAAACAAGATACGCCAGAAGAAAAACCCAATATGAATTCGAAAAAATAAGACCAGAAGGGGGGCGGGGAGTAAAACTATTCCCTCCATTCATAAAGAAGACAATATCAGATAAGAGAGAGAACAAAAATAGCTAAAACGCGGGGCAAACAGAAGATACCTCTAAGAAAGAAAATGCCAGAAGAGACAGAAGAAGCAAGGTACTCAGAAATGGAGTGTGAATAAATGCATGGAGGAGAGGGAAAGAAGGAGAGACAGATGAAGTAATGGGAGGGGAAGGAGGTGGTGGTGACACCTTTTACGGACGGTAGAGATTACCCTAATCTTACAGAAGGAAAGTGAAGCGTCAACTACAATGTTTTGTTAACTAGTTTTTGGCCCCAGGACCCACGCACAATTGTATGATTAATTAATAATAATAATAATAATAATATTTCCGATCACATGAAAAAATAAAATAAAAGCATAGCAATGCGAAAAACAAAAGTATATTTCAAATATCAAAATTTATGATTTCTCTTGTTATTCATAATATGATTAGAATCATACCGCAAAAGTAACTGTGAATGGTAGAGAGAGGAATTTGTGTAAGTCTCTATTTGAATAAATGGCAGAAAAGAAAAGGCTACGGCTAAAATATTTTTCTATTAAATTTTTATCATCTCATATTAAAATATATTTAATTTATTTTTTAAAACAATATTTCAATTAAATATGTTTAGAAATAAAGTAAGGTGTTTATATTTTTAGTTAGCATTACATTGACAAGGTGTAAAAAAAAGCTAAATAATGCCTCCTCTTGCATGTTATTTGCTTTGTGGGCCTTGCATTGGTTATATTAAATTTTGATGTACATTTATAAGTTTTTTGTTTACATTTTGATTTGCAACACGTGAGACATTTTGGGATAAAAATAAATTAATATTTATATTTTTAATATGCATGAAGATAACAAATTTTAGAATAAAATAAGCTATTATTTATATTTAAATTTTAATGGGGACGACAAGTTATAAAATAAAATAGATTATTTATCTCTATCTTCTAAACGCGAAAACGCCTTCTTTCTACAAAAAAAAAAAAAGAAAAGAAAAGAAAGAAAGAAAACACCCTGTATGATTGATCCTAGGATTCCCTCTCCCTTTCTTCTCCATTTTTTTCCTTCTCAAAATCCCAACTCTAATTTTACGGTTTTAATTAAAAACGAATACTTCAGATTTTTGATGTTTTACAAAATCATTATTATAACAATTTATAATTTTCCCTTTTTCCCTTTTCTGTTTTATAGTTGAGGTTTTTTTTTTTACATTAATAATTTTATAAAATATTGATTCTAAGTCATCTATTCTTTTATTTAAAGATGCGAATGAGATTTAAAAGGAAAAAAAAAAGAAAAAAGATGAGAAGCTGGAAGCTTGGAGGGTGTTTGACAACCTTTAAATCATGGTTTCAGAAGCACTTTTCCGCAAAACAAAACAAACTCCTCCACGTATTTACTTCGTAAACCATAAAAGTACTTCTGAAATCATGATTTGGTTTCTATCCAAACACCCCATTGATATTGATATTTTGGGAATTGTGAAGAAGAGATCTCAGGGAGCCGAATAGATTTTTGTTTTCCTTTTAAATCGAGTTGACTATAAATACTTTAATAAAAAATTCTGAATCAATTGAAGATGAGGATGAGTGGAGAGGCATAATAAATTCTGAATATTCACGATCATCGTGCCATTGAAGGTGATGGATGCATCATTGGTCGCCCACTTTGTTATGGCATGCCCATTATTATTATTCTTTCTGTCCACACATTCAAGGGCATGTATGTCTTTTTGCCCTTTCAATTTCTGTCTCCAGCTCATCCAATAGCATCAAGAATAAGGTAAACTACAGGCAAATTTAAGATGTGCTTTTGTTTTTTACGTAGGTGATTTGACTTGGCATATGATTCTTGTTTTTTTGAGTAGGAAACAATTTCTAAAGAAACAAATTAATATAATCATTATTTACTTCAATTTATTCTCATTTTACTTTTAATCATTCAAATTTTAGATTATAAGTTTTGCTGTTTTGGTTTCTCACTTTGATTTGACATACGATTCAATTATTAGAATTAATATGACACTTGTCTGATTAGGATTAGCAATCTCCAATCTTAGTTTAGAAAATCAATAATTAATACTCTTCCGGTCCTTAATGTAAAACCCATTTAATTAATTTGATTAGATTAAGGAAGTTAGGTAAGTTAGTTAATTATAAGAAAAGTGACACATTTTTCCTAAAACACCATAATCATCTTTCTTAATACCCCATCTCCCTCTTCTACTTGATTATGGTTGGGGGAGTATTCATAGGGGTAATTTAGAGAAAATTGATAAATATGAGAAATGGGTCTTATATTTAGGACCAAAATCAACTCAAGAATTGGGTCCTATATTAAAGACCGGAAGAGTATTTTGCAATTGAATAGTTATCATTCTAATTATTAATAGGATTGAGAGGTTGAGTTGAGTCAGATTGAAAAGATTAGTCTCTTACAAAATAGTGAATCTTTACTGGAGGGAGCGACTATATTTAATATCTAACAGTATTTTAAATAAGAGTAACTTTAATAAAAAAAATATGTGTACCTAAAAAAAGTATTTGATCCAAGTAAATGAAGGTTTTTTTTTTCATTTAGATGAAGTATTAAGTTGGAGTTTTGTGTAAAGAAAAATTAGTACTCCTCTGGTCATTGATATAGGATCTAATTATTGAGTTGATTTTAGTCCCAAATATAAGACATATTTATCATATTTATCAGTTTTTTCTAAATTACCTATATAGATACTCCTTTAACCATAATCAAGTAGAAAAAGGAGAGATGATATTAAGGAAAATGATTATGGTATTTTAAGAAAAAATGTCATATTTCTTATAATTAACTAACTTACCTAACTTTTTTAATCTAATCAAATTAATTAAATAGGTCTTATATTAAGTATCATAAGAATATTAAAAGAATTATACACTGATATGATGTTATTTAACTTGATTAGAATTGGTGTGGCTCAATTTTAACCCGTGGTATTACAAGGGAGAAAGACAAATAATGTTAGGCGGATGGCAGTGAGGATGAGGCCACAAAAATGGAATCAAATAGCATCTAATTTATTTGCACTATAATGAGATACCTAATCAGCAGACAAATCAGTGGAATATCATCCCCCATGACCACATAATTGCACGAATGGGACTGCCATTATGTATGTGATTTTAAATTGGATCTGTTCTGATTGATTAAGAACCGCTAATGACTAATACTACCTCCAGTACTTAATATAAAAGCAAGTTAATTAATTTGAGTAGACTAATAAAGTTTGTTAAATTAGTTATTTATAATAAATACGTACAAGTATTATTTTTCTTAAAATATCATTACCAATCCTGTGTATTAGCTTAGAACTTTCATTTGATGGAACCTTTAACATGTGTAATTATCACAAAAACTACTTTAAAAAATTGAATAAATATCAGAGACAAAGTAGATTGCGGTCTTATATTTAATATCAAATTGAATGTCAAACTAGCTCTTATATTAAGAATTGGAGGTAGTATTTAGGAAGTAGCTAGGGATTTTATTTAATAATGCCTGTGATCAACAAAATTTATACATTATCCAGCGCTGCATTGGAGTCATGATGAAGTTAGGAATATTTGCATTTCATTCCTTACACAATACTCAAATTAATTAGTGATAATGGTTGAGATATTGTATCATATCAAAAGGAGTCGCAATCAATTTTACAACGAAGCCAGTCCTTCCCATTTCTTTCTCAATCAATCAAAGTGCGCTTTAACCAAGGCTAAATCTAATAGTTGAAAGCATCCGTGATCATAACTTTAATCTTTTCTAAACTATTTTCTCGGGTCCTTATTTTAAAGAAGAATTACAATCAAGTCTCATAGAAGAAAAATAATTACTAAAAGGTCCCAATAGCAATCTCAACAGTCTGTAATAACAAGTTTTATAGTGAAGAATGACAACTTCTAAAACCTGTTTTGTAATTTTTTTTCTTTCCACGATCGTTATTCTCCCTCATTTTAAGGTTTCTCTGTCCATTTCATCGAAACTAATGAGAGATGGTTAAGCCATTACGTTTATTTGTTTATGTAATAAATTTGTTTATTCTGCTTAATGTCTCATAAAGTGACTTATAATAAGAATGATCCGTGTTTTCTAAAAGATACGTGTAATAAAGACCGGAAGGAGGATTACTTTTGGCCTCAAGCAAGCTGCAAATGATACAACAAAGTCAAACATCATCATTTTGTGGAGTCTGATCTACCATTTTAATTATGCCCATAGTTTCACTTCATGTTATAAACTTGGTACGTGATTTTGTAGCTTGCAAAAGAGAGGCACTTTACTTTTGCCCATTTGGATTTGACTGTGGAGCACAGAGCTAGCAGTGAAATGAGATAAACAATCATGGAACCCAAGTGAAAGCAATAAACCCCAAAGCATTCTGAAAAAGTAATAAAAGGTGAGAACCTAGTTAACCTTCCTGTTATTTTTTTCTCCTAATTCTTAAATAAGGTGAGGTTTAGCCTTCCTAAATGTCAATCCATGAGCTAGTGACCCTAATATAGACTTAGGACCTTACACCAAACTTTAACTAACTTGTTACTCCCAAAGACCTCAGTCAAGGGCATACTTGCTAGAGAAGTAATCTTCAACAATTATTGGATGTGGCCTTGATTGAGAATGACATTTAATTGAGGACCCTCAAGGAGACTTTTTGGACATTTACTAGGGCAATGCATAATTGAAACCCTTTATAGTCCCCATGACGATTACTTGATTCTTCAAGCTTGGCATGTTCCTATTTTGATAAAAACCAACAAGAAATGAAAAGAAACAACAAACAGAACTACTCTAACATTACAAGTAATCAATCTGATCTAAAGGAAGAGGACATAGATATATATATATATATATATAGAGAGAGAGAGAGAGAGAGGCCAAGCGCTCCTGAAAGAGCTTTGTTAGCGAGACAAGCTGCCTCAGTATTCATGTTCCGCCTCCTGCCAATCTCTTTGCATGAACTAACGATATTGCCTCCGTTGAGTGAGAGCACAGTGCAATTAATCTTGCAGAGGCCTTTTTTCCCAAGCTCTCTTTAAGGTAAAACCCATGTAGCTCATGGTCCTATATATTTCAGCATTGTGTATTTGGGGCACTTAGAACATTGTATCTAGCTTTATCAAGACCCTGTTAATTCTCCATGCCTTTCTGAGCAAGGCTGCAGCACAATCCCAGCACAGTGACAACAGACCACAAGCTAAAATTTTATATTATCAAGACTCTGTTAGCGATATTGTATGTTGCTTTATCAGGACTCTAGATCATTAATATTATCTCAAAATAGTGCTGAGTCTACATCCCCAAGCTACTTAAAACACACAATGTGATGGAGGATACTTGTCTAGCAGTTAGGCTGTCTAAAAAAAACTTATAATTTTATATAGATATGATTAAATTACATTGGTGAAATTTAAGTTTATAGATTTATGACGATCATCTTTTTTTTTTTTTCAGGCTTGGGTGGCTATTTTTATTTTTCAATTATAAGGGCATTCTAGTATAAACTCCTTATGTTCTTAATTACAACCAGGACCTGTCAGTCTTCTCAAACAACACTTCTTCAATCACGCCTTTAATCGGGTCAAATCTAGTCATGCTTATTTATCTTATTTAACGCAGACTTAGGGAATGGAGAAGCTTTATTATTTTTATATTTCAAGTAATTTTTTATTTTAGGTGTCACTTTTTTATAAAAATAGATCCATCATTTAAAAAAAGACAAACTAAAATTTTAAATTTGCACTGTCTAAATTAAATTTATGTGAACTACATTTCATCACAACAATAAACATACATGTTACTGTGATTATCATCCATTGATAATGACCTTGATTTGAGGCACACTTTTGACTATCAAATTTGGCTTCAATTGAAGCACACTTAACACAGATGCAGCGCAGCTTGTTCGTTTAATTTTCCAAACCTCACTAACCCATGATTGACGTTAATTTTCTCAGGCGTGAGTGACTATCAAAGAGGCTAGCTTTTATCTCCTAATTTGCAAATTTATATAATATTAATCCTCAAACTTTGTGATTAGTAATTACCCCAGCTTGTTAAAACTTTTTAGAAAAAAACTTTCAAAAAAAAAATTGAAATTACCAAACATCTCAAATTAGGTTCTTGACAGGCCTTGACTTACAAATAACAATATATTTTTGTAAGAATTTCTTATTTCAAATTTAATAATTTTAAACCTTTTTTTGTGAGATTTTCCCAAACTTTTATGGACAAGCCATCAGATTTTTCCTAAATTTTTTATTTGATACCCGTATATTTTTCTCTTTTAACCAAATACTTTAATTTTGCTTTTTTAGCACTACTGGCCCAATAACTTTATTCTGTTAGTATTGTTAGGCTCCGTACAGGAGCTGTAAAACAAATTGAAGGAAAGTATAACTAACTCTAAAATGGTTTTCCCAAACTTCCTTCGCCAGAAAACTTGTGCAAATTTAATATTAACAAAGCAAATTATCCAAACTTAAGACATCTGCATTAAGATGAAAGAAGCTAAAAATAACAATAGCTTTACTTCCAACAGACAACTTATATGCTAATCATCTCAACAGAATTTTTCTATGCTGGTGGTCAACGTTGATTTGGGCACAGCACCAATAATTGCTTCTTTCTTCTCACCATTTTTGAAGATAATGACGGTTGGGATACTTCTGATCCCGTATTGACTTGCGACCGAAGGGCTCTCATCAGTGTTAAGCTTGTAGCACTTCATCTTTCCTGCATATTGCTGTGCTATTTCATCAATTATAGGGTGAATCATACGGCAGGGGCCACACCATGGGGCCCAGAATTCAACCAAAACAGGAGATTCAGATTCCAGGACTAGTGACTGCCAATTTGCCTCAGTAATAGAAGTCACTGCAGTATTTCATTTTAAAAAAAGGTTGTCTTCAGTTACTAATTCTTTCAGACAAGTGAAAAATCCATTGAAACACAAAGAAAGAGATCACAAGGATTTGCATTCATCGGTATCACTACAATCATGAAGAAATCAAGGCATCAGCACAAGAAGGCAGGGTCAGAGACCGGTTACATTTAGTCAATAACTTAGTAACACAATGCAGAGAGGACTAACTTGGTACACGAAAGTTATCAATCATAGGCATGCCAGAATACACTGCAACTGCAAATGCTTCGCACCGACAGAAACTGAAACTGGGAATACTAGTTTCCAATTTCCACAACTAACCCCAAGGCATTGAGATGTCTAAATTCTACATTTGAGCACTTGAATGAATTGGTTCTCTCACCTCAATAGGGGAGGCGTTACCCAACTTACTTGAATGCCCATCAATATATAATCTCATTCTTAGAGAAATTTGATAGAACTCGGGGTGGTAGGTCCTGTCTTGGGCCCAATTCCTGTGATCGAGTGTTTTAGTCAGTTTTGGGCATGCTCCTCATGCATACTTGCTCTTTTGTAGTGCCGGGTCCATCAAAACTTCAAGGTGAGCTGACAGTATGCATTAAGTTAAGCTAATCAGTTCTGTTAGCTGTTGCAAACATATATAGAACTAGTCCCTTTAAAGTAAAATACTAGAATAGCTATACCTAACTGGCATTTTTCTTAATGAGAATGACACCCTAGGACAGCATCTGAGCCCTTTTTTTGACCTGAACCATTAATGATGGAGGAACTTAATAAATCTTTCTTACAGCACAATATTGAAGTTGCATGAGAAAAAGGGAAGAATGCCCCCAATGGCTCAGAGTGTTAGAATGGCTTGGATCAACAAGACATTATATTGATATTATAACCACTCCCATAATGGCATAAAACTTAAACCCCAAATCTAACAGTGTGCTGGACACTTAAAGTAAAAGAGATCATGCATTGAATATGGTCAGCCACTCTGGGAATAACAACTGCAATAGCTCTCAAGATTATATTAATTCCACGTAAGTGGAAAACTGGAAATTACTATATCAGTTTGATGACTTATTGGTTCCACTTTTATAATTCTCTTAATGATGGGTCAGGTTTGCACCATATGTCTTTCTATAGCAAGCAGGAGATGAAAGTCAAAGTAGTGTGGTAGATTTTATATTGGCTGAAACTATTAAGCAATAAATTAGAGCAATCTCCCCATGACTCAAGAAAAGAAAAGAAAGAAATAAGTCACCCAAAAACTGGAATTGAAGCAGATATTTCACGTTGATTTTGTCTGAGTTTCTAATCTAACTCAGAGTTCAACCAAAGAAGTTTTTCTTTTGCTCCCCTCTCCTTGACGGATATCGACATCTAGCATCAAAGTGTCCCATTCCATCAATGTTGAATCCCCAAAAAAACGTAAATTCATGGATTACACCCAAATTCCCTCACCAATTTCTCCACCTCTTCATGATACAATAGAGACAACTCTCCTGGTTGCCACAATCAATTTGTAGAAGTAATAACGTTGGCTTTGCAAGGAAATTAAATTTTGGACTCTGCCACTCTGGTTTATGGATTGCATATGCGCGGGTACCAAAGGGGAAAAGAAATACGCCAAGTCAAAGTGACATTGAGTGTTGATCCAATTTGAAATTGCAAGTGTAAAATGACTATATGTGCATGATGAATTGATTTATAATACTCAATTGGTCCACGTCCAGAGTACGATGGAAGTTAAGTATTGGCTCACATAAACTCCATCATCTAGAAGAGTGACTAGAGAGCAAGGTGATGAAAAAAATTTCTTTCACTTTTATCCTCAGAATTATTAACATCAATCTAGACACTAACACTACAATACAAATTTCCATTCTCACTATACCATCTTCAGATAGTTGTCCAAGAAAAAAAAAAAAAAAACCATTTGCAGATGCTCTGAAGTTTCTATAGCCATGAAATTAAATCCAGAAAGAAACTACAATGAATAAAATCAGCCCCACAAAAAAATCTAAAACCTTTTAACTTAACCAAAACAGAACCCATACGCAAAAAATAAAAGCACACCTCCCGAGGCGGTATCTTGAGCCTCGCACACGACACGCCCACCGCGACGAGCGGTTCTCGAGCGCGAAGCCGGAGAGGAGGAGAAGCGAGTGGTTGAGATGGGTGTGAGCTTAAGGCCTCTGAACTGCGACAACTTAAGAGAGCTGCGACGGGCGGAGGGCAAAGGAACCGAAGAAGCAGAGATCTTCTGAGAGAAGGAAAGGGAAGGAGGAGTGGAGGAACGGGAAACGCAGAGTGAATCCAGAAGAGTGGCCATTGACGAAAGTAGGAGGGAGATCTTGACGAAAATGAAGAATTGAGAAACGAAAATTGTGAGAAACTTTTTCTATAGAAATTTAAGAGGCGAATAATAAGGTAAGCAACAAGTGGGAATGGATGGGAAGAACTAGAACCTGGTAGGTGCTGAGCGCCCCAATCAAACCGCTCTAAAAAGCGGTTTTGGGATAATCAACTCAGACAGGCCCAATCAGACCCAATCTAGGTCACAAATCTTCATATAAAATTGGGCCATCCTTGCCAGGGGCTGCAAGAGTCAGGAGCTATGGGAAAACACGCTTCCATCCAAAGATAGTGACCAACAAGGCTAGATATAGGCAAAATGATTAGTTTTTCATAACATGACAAGTCAAGATTTAAATTCTCATTGATCATGACATGACAAGTTAAGGTTTAAATTCTCATTGAAAGAGGTGCTCACATTTAATGACTGACAGTATTTCGAATAGGATTGCTTTCATAAAAAGATATCTATGCTTTAGCGAAAGAAAAAAAAACCCAACATAGTGAAAAAAAGAGGTCCAAACAACTAGAAAAATTGGGAGAAAAAAAAATCTCTCATTAAAAATTTTATGGATGAAAAGAATATTATAAATCAGAGCAATAATATTTTATGTATGCAAAATTTACAGAGTACTTAATGCTTTGCTTTCTGTGTATAAAAATTAATCAAGTCTTTTTAACCAATAAAATTTTTAATGAGGTATTTTTTTTTATTAAAAAAGCTATTGCATCTTGAAAATTATTGCTACATCTCTTGGAAATCGTTGATACCCTAGGTAATAGAGTTAATGTACAAATTTATCCCAATTTTCTGGCTTAAATTTACTTCTTATCATCATTAAAAATGTTAACAATTAATGTTACTATTTTAATAATAAAAAGTAAAATTGTTATGATTTTAAATTTTTAAGATAATATTAAATGAAAAAACTTTTAAATGCTCAAGGTCACTGAACAGAAACTTTCAGAACCTCCTTAGCCCTATAATATAGGAGTACTACTGATATGCAAATATGTATAAATAATCATGCACTCACCAAACAAACAAGAGATAAATAAGCGTGTTAAACGCTAATTTTCAAAAGGGGACATGAAGGCGCGGGAGCACACATTTCCTGACATTTCCATGATTCCTTCGCTACCAACTCACCTGACCCATCTTGTTCAACATTTTCATTTTTCACACGAAATTATTACGCTTCAATGCTCAAACTTGATTAAATTCGCTTTGCTTAAACAACCACAATTATTACTGATTTTTTTTATTGATGATTTTAGTATTTTCGAGTTAAAATTTAAGTTAAGATTTATTAGTCATCTGATGCTAAATTACCATGACTTTTAACTCATTTAAAGTTGTTGTTCTTGGGGATTCGCCTGGATGTTGGGCACCTGGGTGGAGTTTTCCTTCCCACAAATTAATGGCAAAACAGTAAATATGACAGATCGGGTCAAACATATTCTTTTTCCTCTTCATAACCTCTGTCAAACCATCAACCACACTTCCCTCGTGTCAGTATTCTCAAACTCATGGCTCAACACCACGCGCCAGCCCATTGGACTGTGCTAGCCACACTCTCCTGCCAACGTGTGAACATCATCACCATTTCTTTTCTAAAGAAAATTCCTCAGTCAAACTTCAAGTGCCGTATACCAACTTCTCCATTCATCGTCCTCCTTTGGCCCCCCCCACCTCTTGCTTCTCCCCCTCCCCCCCCTGTTTCTCTCTCTCTGCGCTTCTGGCTATGGAGGAACCGAAGCTGACCCAAGAGCTCAGAGAGGAGAGGCTTGAGCAAAACAAGCTCAAGCAACGCGAGGCGAGCCATGAAGTTCGACTGGCTGCACTAGCCATCACCTTCAACGCACGGCTGAGATCATCGGACATGCCCCTCAACATGCAAGAGCATGCTCTGCGATACACCAGATCACTCGTCGGCGATCCATCTCCTTCCTCCTCGAAGCCCCGTCACAACCCGACCCACTTAGCTCGAGCTCTCAAAAAGGTATTTTTTAAAAAACATTTCATCTAATGATTGTTTTGTATTGATCCTAGCTTGTTTGGTTTGAATGACAACGGACGGTCTGGGCCGGGTTGATAGGAGTTTGACTCGGTGTATGGACCGGCGTGGCACTGTGTGATAGGGAAGAGTTTCGGGTCGTTCGTGACTCACACGGCGGGTGGATTCGTTTACTTCTCCATTGACTCGCTTTTCGTCCTTCTCTTCAAAACGGAGGTCCACTTGGTTACGCAACCACCACCCATTTTGTCTAAATGATCTTATTGGCTTTTCTTAATTGTAAAGCTTTGTCTTTTTTTTGAACGAGTGCACTATGAATTTCGTAAGTCTTAATACTTTAGTTATAGTGAAGTGTTATGCACAGAGAGATTGTCGCGTAGAGAGAAAATTGGGCTGATGACAGAAGACAGATTATCTGGGTGAGAAAAAATAGGTTCTTGGAGTTTTGTATTACAATTAACGAAACTTTCAAATGAACATGGCATTGTCTAAGCATTGCAAACCTTGAATTTGACACTCCAACAATATTGTTGGAAACTGGTGATTCATGAAAAGGAATAAAAATGAAAACTTGCTTTAGCTATGCAAAGACACATGCATGAACTGGTGATCATTATGATGAGAAACTTGGCGAAGAGAGATATGATTCACAGGTAAGTTTGATGAAAATATGAAAAACATGATGTTGGCCTGGTTGGTTTTGTGTCAGTTATGTAGGGATTGGTGTGTCGTCTTGTCCTGATGCTAGCTAGAGAGTGTGGGATGTCCCATTGATTTGCCATTTATAGAAGCGGTTTATCTTTTAGCTCTTACAATTCCCTAAAATTTTGGTCTTTGCTCTCTGGGTGCCATGTTCTCCATGTTTCATGATGCTTGTACGCCATTATTCATCCCACGTTCTTCAAATCTTCTCAATATGACTTTCTTTCGGGACTCTTCGCCTCTTTGACGGTGAAAAGTTTAGTTAAATTAGGTTTGGAAACTCCATTAAGGTTTGTTTTAGGATTTAAAGAGCATTTAGATCGCCCATTAATGAAAGCCTTGCATCGACGACAAGATTGGAACCTATATAGCCTATGGAATGTGAGTTATTTTTTGGTAATTGTACCAACCATTATTAATGGATTCTTAATTTTTTCTTTGACACAAGTTCATATACATGTAGGCCAATCAGAGTATTTTTTAGCTCCTACCTTTTTTGGTTTTAACTTTCAGAATTATTTTTACATAAATTGAGATAACACTTTTCTTACATACTACCTCCAGTCTTAAATATAAAATTAGTTGAAAGTTTTAAATATAAGATCTCAATTCATTTTGTTTCTAAAATTTATATTGTGTTCTCAAAAATATCCTTGCTGATTGTAAGATATTTACACTCAAGTATAATTCTAATGTACTATCTCCGGTCCTTAATATAAAAATCAGTTGCCTAATTTAAATAGATTAAAAAAATTAGTTAAGTTAGTTATTTGTAACAAATAAATACTTTTTTTAAAATATCCTTATTAATCAAGTGTATTTACTACAACAATTATTATTATAAGGACTATTTTAAAGAAATGGATAAATATGAAAAAACAAAGTGGATTGAAATCTTATATTTAATACTCCCTCCGTTCCTTCTTATAAGAGACATTTAATGCTTATGGCATGTTCCCATATATAAGAGACACTTAAAAGTTGTCTCTATTTTTTTGTATTGATTTTCTATTTTACCCCTATTTATTTTGTCTCCAACTCACACTCTTTCTCCCTCCCACTTCTCTTTCTTTTAATAATTTAATTGTTCTCTCTCATATTCTCTCTCCTTATTAATGGGGGCATTGTTGGAAAAAACATTATACTTTTTACACATTAATTGTCCCCAACTAATTTTAACTGTTTTTTTGATCAACGTAATTTGGTTATTTGTCTCTTATAATAAGGAACGGAGGGAGTATCAAAATAAAAGTCAAATAAGCTCTTATATTAAGGGCCGGAAGTAGTACATGATTGAATGAGAATAATTTATAAAAGTCATATACATTTATTACAAATAACTAACCTGACTAATTTTTTTAATCTTTTCATATTAGTTATCTAATTTTCATATTAAGAATAAGAGGTAGTGCTTGCTTTGTAACTAAAAACTACTTCCAAACGTTTATCCAGATACGTAGAATGGGATACACATGGTCGAGATTTTTTTTCTCCACTTTTTGAAAAAAAATTTTAAATGAGACACATTCCGTACCTTTATTAACAGATACTTTTTTTTTTTTTTTCTTTGACACAAGTTCATATACATGCAGAAGGGCCATTGAGAATATCAAAATTTATGTCCATGCCGTGTCGTGTGAGACTCAACAAGTAAGCCAATCGGAGAACTTTTTAGCTCCTATTTTGTTTTTGGTCAAAAGAGCTCCTATTTGAAAGCATTCCAAAAAAAAAAAAAGAACCATTTAGTGGCACGTGATCAAAGGGGCGTTAATTTGTTTTAACTTTTCAAAATTATTTTTACATAAATTGAGGTAACACTTTTTTTTTATAATCAAATCGCACAAAAGAGAAATAATTATCAAAAGGTCTCAATAACAACCTCAACAGTTTATAATGGGAAGTCCTATGGTAAGAATAATAACTTCTGGAACTTGTTTTTCAATTGTTTTCCTTACTTGAGAGCTGGGATCTCATTGTAATTCTTCCTTTTTTATATACTACCCCAAGTTTTAACTATACAAATTAGTTGAAAGTTTCAAATATAATATCTTAATTCGTTTTGTTTCTTAAATTTATAATATGTTCTAAAAAAATCCTTATTGATTGTAAGGTATTTACATCCAAGTATAGTTTCAATGTACTACTTCCAGTTCTTAATATAAGAGCTAGTTGCCTAATTTGAATAGATTAAGAAAATTAGTTTAGTTAGTTTTTTGTAATAAATAGGTGTTATCTTTCCTAAAATATCTTTGCTAATCAAATGTATTTGCTAGAACTACTATTATTACAAGGACTACCTTAAAAAAAATGAATAAACATGAGAGACAAAATAGATTTGAATATTATGTTTAGGACCAACACAAAAGTCAAATGAGCTCTTATATTAAGTATTAAAAATAGTATATGATTGAATGAGGATTATTTAGAACAGTTAATATGCATTTGTTACAAATAACTAATTTAACTTTTTTTTAATATTTTTAAATTAGTTGTCTAGTTTTCATATTAAGAATAAGAGGTAGTACTTACTTTTTTTTTTTTGAGTGGAAAAGGAATATATTAATCAAAATATTTACAGTAAGCGGTTACAAACTTTAAGCAGTGCCAGCAATACAATCTAAGACACCTTTCGCACTAAGAGGTAGTACTTCATAACTATAAAACTACTTCCAAAAATTTAATCTAAACACTGATTGTAGAATGAGACACAGATAGTCTAGATTTTTTTTAACTTTTTGGAAAAAATATATTTTAAATGGGTAAAAATATAAAGTAAAATTGAATTAATTGTTTAACCATCAGTCTTTTAAATATGATTTTATTATTAAAAATTTTGTACATAGACAGTTGAAATTGTATTTGGACAATGCATATTTTTTTATTAAAGGTAATCATATTCAGAGTACTATCAAACACTAAATATAATACTTTTCCTAATAAAAATTAGAACAGTAATTTCTTTCACTAAATCAAACTCCCGTTTGCTGGACAATACATATTTGATCACAGTAATAGACACCATCACAAATAAGAGGCTTATGAAATTGACACGAGGGGGTTGAGACTTGAGAGGGCTACGCGGTGATATCTTTTGTTGTTGGGGCTCATACCACCGGTGCCATGTGTCCATCCTAATTGGCCAAGGGGACCTTCCCCTGGTTACAGTCATTTTTGGGCTGACCTTCCTCAAGCTTTCTTCTGCTAATCTAAGTACGTCTAACGCTCTAAAAATAAATAATAAAATACAAAATTCCAATCAAAATGAGTAATATACCAAAAAGGAAGCGAAAAACGACTAAATGCATTTTGTATTATTGGAAAGCCATTTGAAAATGTTAAGAGGGATTTATGAGCTTACAGAAATTTACATAAATATTTTCTGAAGAATCGTTGCATGATAATCTATTAACAACTCTGAATGGGCCGACACACATAGGGACGGGCGGGACCCAACCCAATCGACTGGAGTACATTTTGTTTTTGGTACAATCTTCCCCGCGGATTTTGGTTTCTAAACACAACAGTCACCTTCTAAATTTGAGCATTTTTGAAATTAGAATAATTCCAAAATACCGCCGGATGAACCAAACCAAGGTTGAAATTCCGGACAAGAGAGGTGCCAACTTAGAAAATATTTAGATAGAATCAAAACCATAATTTTAAAAATATATTTACAGTGTACGAAATAAATATGTGAAAGAAGTTATTTCGTTTTGCAGAAAAATATCTCTGAAAAGCACTTTTAGGTACTTCCAAACACTCTGTTAGAATAGAATAATAACTTCAACAGTATTGCTTAGCATGAGAGAAAACTAGCTTGGCACCTCACTCCCTTCACTGGGAAGGGCTCACATTCACATAAAGTTGAATGGCCGCTCGCTTTCTTAATGAAGACATGTTGAGGTCTTCCTTACTCATAAAATCAGTTTCATCTCAGTAATACTTGGTCCTCTGTTTCTGCTTCTATATATTACGTCAACAAACTTTACAAAACACGACTCTCAAATTTCAGTTTCGCCAGTTTTTAAAAGTTGCAGATGATGATTCAAGTGATGGCATCTAATTGAAATGGAGCCCCAATTGACAATTTATAGCAAATGGAAAACGCAGGGGATTCACAAACTATGTTCTTCTAAAGACATCATCAACCGCAACAAGAAAGCCTCTACCAGAAAACAAGAAATACGACCGACAAGGATGCAGGATATGATTATGAACAATATGTCACAAACAAAACATATATACATATATAGTGTGTTTGATAGGAAATAAAAGTTATGTGACTAATGAACATAAAATGAATAGGTGAGATTATTTGACTTAGGTGTTAAATGTTTAAGACATGAAGAGTCCACAATAAAAATAATGAGGGATCAAACAGTAAGATTTCATCAAGCAAAGCACATAAAAGAGACACTGATTAATGAAACTCGTAACACTATAATGATAGGTGTTTAGTACTGAATGCCTGTTTCTCTCACTTCTTCCTCCTAGGCTTGTCATCGAATTCCTCTTCGTCGTCATCGTCAACGTCCTCACCAAACTTGCCATCGAACTCATCCAAGTCCTCATCGAGATCATCATCATCATCATCGAACTCATCAACAACGTTATCGTCGTCGAACTCTTCCTCACTATCGATCTGTTTTCGAGATGACGACGAGCCTCCTCGACCCCTTGCCCACAGAGATCCGCCGACAGCAGAACCTGCTGTCTGAAGGCACTGACGGGCGCTGTGAAGGCCTTCTTCATCAACTAGAAGCTTCTGGTTTGCTCCGACAAAATCGGAGAGAAAAAACGTAGGAGAAGGAGGTGGAAGCTGCGATTTCTCGGCGAGAAGAAGACGAAGGGATTCGTCGATGACTGTTGATTGAGCAATAGGGGTAGTGAGGCGGAAGGGTTTGCGAAGGAATTGGGAAGTGACATTGGAGTGGGGCTTGAGGAGCGATCGTGTTGCCATTTTGCAGAGACTGTGACTGAGAGCAGAACAGGGAAGGGTTACTTAAAGAGTAACCAAACAAAGCAGGGTTTAGGGTTTTGAGTGCGGCCGCCTACGTGCTACACCCCTCTAATAGGAAAGGGCAGGTTCTAGAGACTTCATGCTTATTTGCCACGTGTATCAAAAGGATCGGTTTTCTTTTTCTTTTTGACGCAAGCAATAACCCTAAAATAATAATGTAATTGAATTTGCATTGCCTAGGCATCTTGAAATTTATCATTTTGATATTAAACAACTAACTCCGGCAAAAAAAAACAACATATTTATAATTGATGTCAAACTTATGAAATGTTTAACCTTCGTAAATGCCACCATTTTAATTTAAACCTGGTCAAAATCTGAGTCGTAAGCCATAAAATGAAAATAATATGGGTTTTATTAAAGAAGAGGAAAAAATATATAGGTAATTCCATTTCCTACACATGCAATAACACCATCATCTGAAAGCGCATGCTTAAGGTTCACCAGCAAACGTTGTCAACTGCTATCCTAAGTTGCGGTTAGTCGTTTCCTATTCTTTTATATAATAATTTTAAAAAAATTTCGGATGTTGCCGAAATTGAAAAGGAGCAAGAGAAAGTTCATTTGAACATCCAATTACAGCATTTTGTCCTTCCAAACACTCTGTTAGAATAGAATAATAACTTAAACAGTATTGCTTAGCATGAGAGAAAACTAGCTTGGCACCTCACTCCCTTCACTGAGAAGGGCTCACATTCACATAAAGTTGAATGGCCGCTCGCTTTCTTAATGAAGACATGTTGAGGTCTTCCTTACTCATAAAATCAGTTTCATCTCAGTAATACTTGGTCCTCTGTTTCTGCTTCTATATATTACGTCAACAAACTTTACAAAACACGACTCTCAAATTTCAGTTTCGCCAGTTTTTTAAAAGTTGCAGATGATGATTCAAGTGATGGCATCTAATTGAAATGGAGCCCCAATTGACAATTTATAGCAAATGGAAAACGCAGGGGATTCACAAACTATGTTCTTCTAAAGACATCATCAACCGCAACAAGAAAGCCTCTACCAGAAAACAAGAAATACGACCGACAAGGATGCAGGATATGATTATGAACAATATGTCACAAACAAAACATATATACATATATAGTGTGTTTGATAGGAAATAAAAGTTATGTGACTAATGAACATAAAATGAATAGGTGAGATTATTTGACTTAGGTGTTAAATGTTTAAGACATGAAGAGTCCACAATAAAAATAATGAGGGATCAAACAGTAAGATTTCATCAAGCAAAGCACATAAAAGAGACACTGATTAATGAAACTCGTAACACTATAATGATAGGTGTTTAGTACTGAATGCCTGTTTCTCTCACTTCTTCCTCCTAGGCTTGTCATCGAATTCCTCTTCGTCGTCATCGTCAACGTCCTCACCAAACTTGCCATCGAACTCATCCAAGTCCTCATCGAGATCATCATCATCATCATCGAACTCATCAACAACGTTATCGTCGTCGAACTCTTCCTCACTATCGATCTGTTTTCGAGATGACGACGAGCCTCCTCGACCCCTTGCCCACAGAGATCCGCCGACAGCAGAACCTGCTGTCTGAAGGCACTGACGGGCGCTGTGAAGGCCTTCTTCATCAACTAGAAGCTTCTGGTTTGCTCCGACAAAATCGGAGAGAAAAAACGTAGGAGAAGGAGGTGGAAGCTGCGATTTCTCGGCGAGAAGAAGACGAAGGGATTCGTCGATGACTGTTGATTGAGCAATAGGGGTAGTGAGGCGGAAGGGTTTGCGAAGGAATTGGGAAGTGACATTGGAGTGGGGCTTGAGGAGCGATCGTGTTGCCATTTTGCAGAGACTGTGACTGAGAGCAGAACAGGGAAGGGTTACTTAAAGAGTAACCAAACAAAGCAGGGTTTAGGGTTTGTGAGTGCGGCCGCCTACGTGCTACACCCCTCTAATAGGAAAGGGCAGGTTCTAGAGACTTCATGCTTATTTGCCACGTGTATCAAAAGGATCGGTTTTCTTTTTCTTTTTGACGCAAGCAATAACCCTAAAATAATAATGTAATTGAATTTGCATTGCCTAGGCATCTTGAAATTTATCATTTTGATATTAAACAACTAACTCCGGCAAAAAAAAACAACATATTTATAATTGATGTCAAACTTATGAAATGTTTAACCTTCGTAAATGCCACCATTTTAATTTAAACCTGGTCAAAATCTGAGTCGTAAGCCATAAAATGAAAATAATATGGGTTTTATTAAAGAAGAGGAAAAAATATATAGGTAATTCCATTTCCTACACATGCAATAACACCATCATCTGAAAGCGCATGCTTAAGGTTCACCAGCAAACGTTGTCAACTGCTATCCTAAGTTGCGGTTAGTCGTTTCCTATTCTTTTATTAATGTTTTACAAACAATTTCGGATGTTGCCGAAATTGATTCTCAAAGGAGCAAGAGAAAGTTCATTTGAACATCCAATTACAGCATTTTGCCCTCCATGTGCCTTAAATTGAATTTTAGAGTTTTACAAGTCTTTCGAAACGGGCAGATGCCCATTAAGAAAAGAGACACAGAAGTGAAAGAAGCAATGTTTTTAAACAGTGAATTCACAACCCTCCTTCTTACTTTAACAGTCTAATAGCATAAAAAAAATTAGGAATGGTACCAAGTTGGTCCTATCCTTGACTTTAAACCTTACCCCAAGTTCATTCTCATGCAAGATGATATATGAATGATTTCTTAAACAGGGGCTAACACTAACTATTCAAATGACAACAATGGATGTGCCTGCATAATTGTTAACAGAAATAAATGAAGCCTCCTCAGTGAACAAAAATCTTCACAAGACATGTCCTGATGAGGGAGTAGGTAAAGGGATATAGAAACCAGACCCAATACGCAAAGTCCATCTCAATCTTCAAAATTGAGGCTGATGCCAGATGAGCTATATTGGCTTCAGCTCAATAGCAGAACTACTCTAAACAATTTACATAGATTTATCAGCACTTCTGCCAACTAGGCCTATATTGGCATATTCAAGTTTCACTTAGAGAGTAGTTGAGTAGAAATTAAATCATGCTTTTAAAAGTAATTTTACAAAAAAGAGTTTTATCTCATACGTGAAAGCACTTTTTAAAGTGCTTTCAGAAAAACCAAACAACCCTTAATTATCTAGTAAATAAGGTTGTCAAATCATTTACGAACACCCCGTCAAACTCATAAGCTACGCATCCAAGTGATAAGAAAGCCACGCTGACTTACGCTAGAAGGAGAAAGGCACAGAAAACCAAACAGCACTTTTTGTTTAATTTTTAATTCCTTATTTTGCTGTTGCTTAATTTTAAATTATGGTTGAGAGATTCTCATCATCAAATTAGTACTCACATTGTTGTTAAGGGCTCCCAACATTACTGTTTAGTTTTTAGAGTCAGTTCCAAGATTTTAGAAATCATTTCCGGATTTTATTTGACTATTTTAATATAATTTCAATTCATAAACGGAGTAGCCATCATATCATAGAGCTGGTCACAAAAGCAATGACATGAGTTTTATCCTTATACAGTTTCAAGACCAATAATATGAAGAATCTCTAAAGGATACCATAAAACTCATGTCATTACTTCAGGGACTAGCGGCTAGTCTATTTATAGACTGAAATTATATTAAAATCATCAAATAAAATTCAGAAATAATCCTTAAAATCATCAAGTTGGACGTTCGAATCCCTTAACAATAATATAGATCCTTTTTTGACTACGAAAATCTCTCAAATAATTCAAATTTAAGTAGCAGAAGAATAAGGACTTCAAAAACTATGAAATAAAGAAATGCTAATTGATTTTCAGTTTCTTTCTCCTTCTAACGTGCAGCATGGGTTTCGTATTACCCAGGAACTGGAAACAGAGCTATGTTTGTGTGCCACATAACAAGACACACTACATACCGCCTCTAATTACTGGTAGGTATGAACACCTCAAAATTTGTCATAATACATTATTTGTGTTACTGTCAGTGTCCGTACTAAAATACCCATTGGCCCATGGCCCCGAGTCATGCAGCTCATAACTGAATGAGTCTCATTCATGGTGAACCATTTCCTCTAGCCAAACTAATACAAAGAAATCGATGACTAAACGTAGTAACGTACTTATTGGCTCAGTACAAATATTGAATATGCATTAAAAGAAAAATAGGAAGATAGATGCTACGAATCAACCAGCCAATTCTAATAATAAATTTTGGACAAAAATTATCTTGCCCCAGAAAGTTGAACAGTGCAAAATCATTGAGGAACTTGATTCTAGACAAAACGTTCGGAAAGAAAAACCAAAGGACAACCAAATCAAGCTTTTCATAATTTAAGTTACAGTTGAGCATATTACCTAAAGAGGCTACGATAAATATACTTCTCCTCATCCTCAGTCTTCACCACCGTCAAATCCTCTTCCATGAATTCCTTTCCTCCGCAATCTTCGACACACCCAATTCAATCACCACTCTTATCAGTCCACCCACATCATTTCCCCCATAAACACATAGAACCACCAAAATCTATCTATCTGGGTTCAAACAGAATCCCCCAAGCAGTACTTTTTACAAACACCTTATGGGCAATCTTTGCAAAGCTAAGAGCTCCCACGCAATCTATAAACTATGCGACCTCTAGACGAGTCATACCGACTAACTTCAACTTTGACTCTATCTCCCGGCAAAATTCGAACGAAATTCTTCCTGATTTTCCCAGAAATATAACCCAGAATCAAATCCTCATTATCGAGACGTACACGGAACATGCCGTTGGGAAGGGACTCAGTAATCAAGCCTTCGTGCACCCATTTCGACTCATTGGATCGGTCAGCAGGAGGAGACTTGGCCTGAACGAGAAGAGTTTCCAGAGGCTTAGTCTCCAATAATGGATGAGATTTAAGGAAAAGGGGGCTGCGAAAATGGGAAATGGAATTCGATTGAAGTCTGAGCGGGGCAAAAGCGGGTCTCGGAGAAGGAAGAAGATGGGCATGGAGGATTGGAGTGCGATATTGGAACGAGGATGAGGCTAACATCTCTGCGTTAATGGAGAGGTTTCGTTGTGAATGGGGTCGAAGAAAGAATGATACGAGACCTCGTGTTAAGCTGTTGTTTGCCTAGTTGAAGCCATAGGATAGAAGTACAGGGAATTTGCGGGGATAAGGTTTAACGGGCTAAAGAAAATTTGGAGATATCGAGAAAATGAATTAAAATTCCTCTTAACATGAATAGCAAGAAAGATGCTAAGACCTTGTAATTCAAGGATGCGAAACATCTTCTAAGTTTTTTTTTTTTTTTTAAAGTGTGGGGCTTTTTTTTTGGAGTTATTTTAGAATTTTAGGTCATAGTTCTGTCTAATATTTTTGGCCTAATGAATCGAGAATTATGAGAGAAGAATGTCTCCACTAACTTTTCTTATCACTTCCTATCCACTTAATTTCTTTATCATTGGATTAACTCCCAGTGGTTGAGATTTAAATTGAGTAAAAATATTATTATAATATTAAACATGATAAAAATTTATCATATTAAACTACTTATATCAAATTTTAACACTTAACAGTATATTTATTTATATATTTTTATTATTTAATATTTAATATTTTAATAATATATTTTTAATAATATGTTATTAAATACTACCTCCGGTCCTAATTATAAGATCTTATTTATAAACTATAAATGAGATCTTATAATTAAAACCGAAGGTAGTGAATCTTAGCCATTGAAGTTTGATCTAATGATGAAAATATTAAGTGGAGAGAGGGGCTAGTGAAGACATTCTTCTCTCAAAAATTATGCTTTTAGATTTGTTCAAAAATAAAAGTTGATTTGTTATAATAATTTCACAATCTAAAATACAAGCAAACTAATCAAATAAAAAATAGATCTTATTGTAGTAAGTCCTAAAAAGTGGTATGTCACAGTGATCAAAAGAAAAGTGGTATGCTACAATATTGTTTGGAAAAATATTATGTAATTTTCCGCTTAAGAAAATCGCATGCTTGTTTTCATTATAATATTTTAATTAAATTTTATAGTTTTTTTGTCAATCAAAATGGCATAAACATGTTTATTAATCCATTTAAGATGTGTTTAATTTGGCATTTGTACGTGTACAAATGCTAATAAATGCATGCACAGAGGTGGGGGGAATATTAATACTACCTCCGGTAAATATGTTCTAAAACTAGTTGAAATAAACTTCAATACTCCATTTTGTGAGAAGGGGAGAGAGAGAGAGAGACAACTTTTGTGAAATTTAAACAAAAAAAAAAAAGTGAATTAGATTTTAAAAGTTCCTCGTTAACCCATTTTATCAAAATAGAAATCATTACGATAAAACATGTGAGAAAGTCCTAATTAGTTATAGATCACATAAATTTTGTTCATGTGATATAATTCATTTGTTAATGCGTCACGATTTTGCCTAATAGAGGGGAAGAACTCTCCCTCACATACAGTTCCATCCTTGTCATACATATATTTTACGTGAACCACCATTAACACAAGGTCAAGTTTTCTACACACAACTTTAACATACAAGGCCTCATTAAATCAGCCACAATACCCTACTAAGTACTAACCATTTTGTTTATTTATAAGATTTTCATTACACAAGCTTCATAACTACCACACGACATCATAACAACTGAGGCCATTTGCACTTTGACATTACACGAAGTTTAATTCAAACGTTGCATGCCTCTACTGCTTCTTCTCTTTCTTTTTCCTTTTCCTTTCCTCCTTCTTCTTCTTCTTCTGGTATGGTCGCCATTGGCACTTTCTGATATCCTTCTTGTGACCTTCTAAACCTACGAGGCAGAACACAAGAACCTCCAAAACGTTGCTGCAACAAGATGATGACAGCAAATAGAAGACTTCCCAAAGGAATGACAATGTCCCAGTCAGTGGAGTAATAATCTGCAGTTGGATCAGCATAATAGTAGAACCCATTATCTTGCTCATCATAGTTTTGAGCCCTGTAAAGATCATAAGCATGAGGTAACGTTCTCACAAAGCTTGTCCCAAAGTAGAACCAACATGACAGAGCATTATCCTTCATGTTTGAGAACAAGTTAAACACGATCTGGGGCAAGAGAAAGCCATCCAAAACCAAACCTCCAAAGCGTTTCAAGCTTTCCCATGATGAATGTCTCTGAAATGATGATGCTGCATCACCATTATATTGTTAGAGATTATAGTAGAACTAAGAAAGAATTAGCAATTCAGGGAATATAACTGGAAAATCATACCTTCATAGTTGTTTTTTGACTTTAGTAATAGAGCAATTAAGAAGCATAATGCATATAAGGGGAGAATGACGCATGCGGTTTTCTTCTCAGCAACCCAGAGGCTCTTGTGGCTTTCTTCGTCAACCTTTCTTGCTGACCAAGTAATCCACAGAAAACGAAGTAGTAGCAGGAAAACTACCATAGTTAACAGCCTCACAGTTGTTTCATTCACCTCAAGTTGAAACCACCCAACATTTCTAAACACAAAGTTTTTGTTGTTAGGATCTTGAGTGAACACAGCTTCAAAGTTAAGAACAAGAGGCACCATGTGGCCCAAGGTGAGAATTGAAACCATAGTAAATGATATAAAGGGAAGCACATTGGGATGCCTCTTCACATGGATGAGTTGTGATATCAGGAAAACGCATGCTAGAGTTGTTGATACAAGAACCGTTATAATCTCCATGTCCATTCTCCATGCTGTGTCTGCTCCTTGTGTGTAATAAGCAAATGCAGTTAAGTTCAGGACTTTGAAGTAAAGAGGATCTGAACTTTTCCTTGTGCTTTCAATGCTTCCCTTGGTGTGACTGCTTCTTCTTGCAGCGTCTAATGGTGGGAATTCAAACTTGATTAGAATCTCACAATCTAGAGAATCTTCAGTTTTTGGGGTCTCACTAAAGTTTAAGACAAGATTTCTGCAGCCAACCATACACAAGCTTCCTGTCTCAGCATCATAGGTTCCCTCAGCAGAAATCCTTACTGACTCAAAGGACTTATTGAACAGAGATTTCTTGTCCTCTAACATTGAATTAGAGTACAAGGTCATGGTGAAGCTAAGATTAAGCAAGGTAGTGTTGCTAATGTCTTCATAAGTCTGGGAAATCGAGGTGTCTATGTCGGAATCAAAACTAATGATGTGTGGATCTCTGTATATCTCCTCACCAACGGCTAATGGAGATGAATAACCCCAACCTATTCTCTTCTTGGTTTCTCTAACAGATAAATGACTGTTCATGTAAGAAACATCTGGATACCTGTTTTCTTGGTTCTTGACGTGATAGTGGCTGCTTGGGCAAGATTTCTTGACTCTTTCCAACTGGGTATACTCATACTTCAAGCCTTGAAAAACCACATTAGAACGCTCCAAAGCGTCGTTGAAGTTAACCAGACCTTTCTCAGTTTTGTTACTCCAGATTTGGCCCACAATTCTGCTGGTGTTTTTGATGGATAAAACAGAGGGGAATTTGAGCCTTAATCTGATTGAGCAATCACCAACATGAGCCCCAGCCAAGGATGATGAAGAATCCGTCACTCCCATGAAATTGCAAGCGACAACGCGTATTTGATTCTTCGCCTCATCCCACCATCCTTCACCTACAAACATTGGTGTTTGTCCAGTAACGTTGACACGCTCGAAACCATAATAATAATCATCATAAGGAAATTGCACCAGAACTCGAAGCCTGGGCTTGTCAGTATTGGAAGAACATCCAATCTCATCCAAAGATATGATAGATCCACGGGATGATCCACTAACCCCACCATGGGGATTACAGTTCTTTGCAGAATTAAGATGGCAATCTATAGGGTGTTCCAGATGAAGCCATCTAATTGCCGACGAGACTCGACGTGAGCAAAAAGATGAGGGATCTAGTGGCAAACCTGCTCAGCATCATTCTCATCAGAAGCAAAATCACGTTCAACTTCTTTAGAATCCAAGCTATACTTGTAATTCTTCTTTGGAAGCATCAGAACAGAAATGGGTTCTCGAAGTAACGTTCCTGAACATCTGCAGAACTCAAGCTCTCCAAGCTTCCATGGATAAGAGCAGTAACGTTACTCGAGTTGAACAGATTACTCAGTTTGAAAACAGCATCGAGATGAAGAAAGTCACCCTCTTGGGAATGCCCTTTCCCTTTCCCAACCATACAAAGCCTTCCTGATGATTCAGACCAGAACCCATCAAGCTTGAAGACGACTTTGCCACTATCTCTACTTAAGACCCGAACCTGGAGGTTTCCCCGTAGTAATAACTATTACTGCTCACGAACGTAAGAGTAGCTTCAATTTTGATCAACCCAGAAGTCTCTGTCTGGTGTACTCTGTTGGTTTGAAGAGAAAAGGTGTTTTTTGCCAAGAAGAGCTAGTTCTGAGGATTTTATGGCCTCCTTTGAAGTAACCTGTGTGAAGCTCAGGAGGAAAGGGAAAGCAGAGGGCTTGAACTTGATGGGAATGGACTCAGGGACGATAGAGGCACAATGAACTTGGTAAGGAGAGGTGTAGAGGCAGAAGAGATAAAGTTGAAAGAGAAGAAGGTGGAAAGGAAGAGGAGAGTGAAGAGAAGCGTGTTCATTGCTTAAGAACGAGGCAAAGAAAATTCAAGGAGAAGCAGAGGACGATGCAGATGCAGATGCAGAAGCAGAAGAGTAGAGGTAGTTATATACAAGTCGCCCGCCTAGTCCCCATACTAATTATTGATGAAAATTATTAATGCAAAAGCATATTAGGTAAAGAAACAATGCAGAGTTACTGTGAAGTCCGAGATAAAACAAAAAATTATTCAAAAAAATTTAATAACAAGTGAGCAATTGGAATCTGATATTATTTCCTGTTTTGTAATTTGCTATCACAAGCTGCTCAGTTATTAGAAAAATTTTATGTGAATTTCTTCTTTAAAATCTCATTGCAATTCTCCCAAAAAAACAATAATTTGATTTATCCATCCTCAAATTTAGAATAAAAAATTAAAAATATAAACTATTTTTAAAAAATGAAAAAATGTCCCATTAAAAATATTATTGGTGAGAAGAAATTAAGTCAGAAAAGATACAAAAATTACGAGGTGATTCGTACTAAATAGATTTTTCATAGGAGATTTTTTTGAATTTTCCCCTCATTTTTTTATTATTCTAATCTTCTTCTTAGTATTTTATTAGGAATTTTATTTTTTCATTGTATTTGATAAGTTGCCATCCATATATTACTTATTTTTAATAGGTTTTGAATATTGGTATGCCTTATAAGAAGGAAATTATCACGTAGCTTCATGCAATTTGTAAGTTATTATCTCCACACCGCTAAAGACGTTATGTGGTTGTAATCAAGTCAAGGTGCCTTTAATTTCAGCCCACGTTAGAAAATTGTCCATGGAGTGCTTAAAAGTCATAATTTCTTGAGAAATTCACATTTAAAAAATTACTCGTGTATTAATGTTCCAAAATTTAGGAAAGTTTTATGTAATTTAGCCTATTATATATTAGAGTTTAAATGTTGATACAACTAACTGCGTCATTATATCAAGAATAAATTATAATATTAACTCTGATCTTTAATATAAGAACTAGTTAACTAATTTAAATATATTTTAAAAAACTATTTAAATTAGTTATTTATAATAAATAGCTATTATCTTTCTTAAAATATCCTTGCTAATCAAGTGTATTAACTAGAATTACCATTACTACAGAGACTTGGGAAAAAATGGATAAATGAGAGACAAAATAAATTAGAGTTTTATATTTAGAAACAAAATAAAAATCAAACTAATTCTTATATTAAGAACAGAAAGTAGTACTATATTTGTCAAAAGGTTACTTCACAGGCTAAAATTTACAATTTATTAGAGTGAGAAACGGGCATTTGAGTGGCTTCGTGACCACTAAAGTTGACTTTGAGTCAACTCTAGCAAAGACCCTGGAGTCTAAGAAATTGTCGTGAATCGTCATCCACAAAGTATTTTCCACGGCGTTGAAAAGTCACGGCCACCTTGTGTTTCACAAGTTATTGAAAAAAAGGAAAATTTCATGGATATAGCATCACTCAAATGTCAAACATCGTTTGCTCTCCATCGGTAAATTCCAAACAAATTTATGACCTTGTCTCTTTGACAAAGTCCTAACCAATAGAGGAAAGGTAAATTTAAACATTTTGTTAAAATTATTACATTGAAATTAAATATTTTAAGTTGATAATGTTAAATTGAACAGTGTAAAACTTCATCTATGTGGGCAAATTTTTACCAATCATTCAAAATCATATTGAATTTGAAGTACTCCTCCGGTCCTAATTATAAGACCCAATTGACTTATTTGAGGAGATTAAAGAAGTAAGTTAAGTTAGTTATTTATAATAAATAAGTGTTGTTATTCCTAAAATATCCTTGCTAATTAAGTATATTGGCTAAAACTATCATTATTAGAAGGATATCTTGAAAAAAAATGCATAAATATAAGAAAGAAAATGGATTGGGTCTTATAATTAGGACCAAATAAAAAGTCAAATGGGTCTTATATAAGGATCGGAGGAGTATTTTTGAATGAATGTCCTAAATTCAGGAATCTAAACTGCAATTTTCTTATATCTTTTCAAACTTGAGTAATTTTGAATCTGTCATCAATATAACCCTGAGTTTCATTAGATAATTTTATACTCATAATTAGCATTATTGATTGGTTTATACTTGAGCCTTTTCTTTTCAGCTGGTATAAATACATGCAGAAGACGCTAATACATTATGCTTATCTTAGGTTCAGATGAACAAGCCCCACTTGTGTCTCCATTTCCACACCAGCCAGTGAGATTACTCGCACATTCCCCATTACCAAATATGCCTAGTGTCATTCTTTTAGACCAAATAATTATATAATGTAGCCCGTTTTACCAATAGGCTTCTCTTCAATCATTTGTTTTTCAGACTTGTTTGCAAATATCAGCAGAGAATAATATAACTCGAACCTTCAGAATAAAAAAAGGGGAATATATATATATATATATAATAATATATATATATAGAGCTGGAAACTTAAACCATGAGTCATACTAACAATGTACTAGCATCATCCGCAACTATATACAATGACCAAAATTATGTGCAGGCATGTTTTTCCAATGTGAACGAACATAAGATGGACCATCACCAGATTTTGGCTATTATCTTGAAATAAAACAGGGAGCTATTAGGTATAGCTTAAATATGCCTCCTATATGTATCAAGTCTCAAAATTGGGCTTCATCAGGGGAGAGTTCAAGTAGCAGTAGCAGGAGCAGCAGCACCAGCAGCATCAGGGTTACAACCTGCTGACATGTTACCTGCTGTAGCCGCCTGCGGCAAGAATTTCTCACACTCCTTAGCTCCAACTTTGGAAAATTCTCCGACAAGCCTATTCACAAATCCAGCTAAGGTTTCCTTAAACTGCCTTGAGCAGCTCCGGTCACCTGCGTCAACATCCTGCACTCCACCTTTGACCAAACAGCCAACTTGAGCACCATCCATGTATGCTTTACACGCCACCAAAATATCATGAGCCCGGGTGCAGAAATGCCCCGCAACAAAGTCCTCGAAATGCTATGGCAAAAAAAAAGGCCATAACAGTTAGATTTTGAGCCCCATAAAGAAGAAGAGACAGTAAGAAGTTTATGGCTATAATGAAGAAAAACACTTGCATGTTCTAGCACTTGCCACATTCTACATCCATGATTTCAAGGATCTATGTAATCTTCAACTAGTTCTGTGTTCATGACTAAATAAATTACATAACGGGATCATGCCCTTTTGATGCTATGCCATATAAAGAAAGTATAGAAATCTAAAACCAGATTTACTACGAAACATGGATGCACTCATAGAGTTATATCTGTCTGAAACGTGCCTGATACTTATAACAGATACAATGCAATACTTTAAAAGACTTTTGAACACATCAGATTTTCTCAAATCACCACATCCATGTCAGTATCCATGTTTCCTAGGAAGCTTATGTGGATAGACTATAGACGTTATGAATTTCGCCACATGCAAAAACCATCCTAGTGACAACTAATGTACCTTGTTCGATGCAGTAAACTCATTTAAAAGTCATTATTTTAACTTATGTCACATACGATCACTCTTCTCACTTGATATAAGCACTTGTGTGCACATGTATAGTATGAATATGCACAAAAATTGACTAAGGTTTAAAAATTAAGCTTGATATAGTCACTAGAATCATACCTTTGGAGGCTTTCTCATCACGTACATCATCGTCTTCAATGATAGAATAAATGCATCCTCATTATACTGCAGGGACCTCATTTCGCCAGCAGCAGAACCACTCGTATGAGCAAACCCTGGCTCATTAAAATAAGGCTTTGTATTCAAGATTAAACCTTGTATAGAAACAAGAACCTGTAGAATTGTTGAAACACCAGGAAGCCACTTCTCATTCTTATCGCCAGACCAAGTATTAAGCAGACTGAGGCATACTTTGCCGCAGTTATACAAATTTGGGTTGATCCTAACACCACCAGAGTGGTAGTGGACTTCCTGCCATGAAATTTCCCATAAGCAAGACTTGTACATAAAGGGAGAAAACATGATACTGAATTACTGATGTCAATAAGATATAGTTGCGTAACTTAAAGGGAGAAAACATGATACTGAATTACTGATGTCAATAAGATATAGTTGCGTAACTTAAACTCCATACCGGTGGCACATTGGGATAGCCATTGGGAAAGAAAACGTCAAAAAAGAAGAGACCGTCATGATAAGGAGTTCCCTCTGCTCCAATCATTACAGCTCTCAAAAGATCCATCCTTGACTCATAAACTCTAACAAATATTGTATCTGACGAAACCAATGAGGAGACGACGAAGAAGAAACAGTGAGACATATTGCAAAGAATATAGTAAAAGGTTGCACACTGTAATCTACAATACCCAGTTACAGCTATTTTTAACACTGCTTCAGGCACCCAGCGTATTTCAATTATAATAATAACATGACATTATTTCAAATGCATACATTCCAAGTGGCTTATGGATCTAAAAGGTTCTCGCTTCAATCTCAACAACAAAGATGGAAACCAGAGACATACAAGTGTCCGAGGATCATCAGCTTGAAAAGAAAACCAGAAACAAAAGATATACAATTAGAAAAATATCAGTTACATTTTGTAACTAACAGTAACACTTAAAATACACTTACCAGGCAAGTCCTTCTCAAGAATTCTCCACTCTTCCTGAATTTTCTTTGACCAATTCTTTGAATGCTGTCAGAAAAATCACTTAATGAAAAACCAAAATATTAAGATCAGAACTGAAAGAGACTGTTCCTTGGAAACTAAACTACCTGCTTCAAGGAATAACTTTTGCCATTATAGTAATGGTCTGAAGTGTCTTCAACTGTGTCAAACTGTTTAAAATGTTGGAATTTCCTCAAGATTTCATCCCTATCTTCATCAGATATTGTAACAACCGGGGCAGTAGTAGTAGTTTCATTCTTTTCATCATTGGCATAATTGTGAATCCAAGCATTACCAAACATTGGCGGAAGAGGGCCATCAAGAGGATCAAATGGATAATAAAAGCCTAAATTATCTGAATGGTCTGTAAAAGGCGGGTTAGGAGGTTTCTTCCACATATTAGAGTTTGCTGATTCCAATCCAGGAATATGATATGACCCTTCAAAAGGTGGAAAGAAATTTGAATGGAACAAAACATCTTTCCCATGTGCCTTTTTTGCACTTTTAACTTTGCCCCAATGAGGAGGTTCACCTCCAGGTGGCAGCTTCAAGGGCTCTGACTTGTGTGCTGAAGAATCACTTTGAAAATCACCTAAAACAGAAAGCTTCTTCTTGCGACTGAAAGGTCCTTTGAACCAATGAGGCTTAGATGAATCTGCCCCTAGTGCTAGATTCAAGTTCAGCTTAAGCCCATCAAGTTGTGAAAAAGTTGATTGCTTTTACCAAGAGCAGCTTCAGTATGCAACTGAGAAGACAAGTTTTGAGGAGGAGGATTGACAGCAGCATTTTTTGTTTGTGAACTAGAACTACATACTGGAGTTTCTTGGATGAGGTCAGAAGATTCTATTGCCCACGAAAGCTGAGATAAGTCTGTCATATGAGAACTTTTAGCATCTAACTGCATATTACCCCAAGGATTCGAAGAACTACTTCCAGATTTCTTCAAATCTATATCAAAATTTGACATCCAGGGTATGGGTGCCTCAATTCCAGCAGGTATATTCACACTGTCAAAGTGTGCCTGTAACATGGCGTACTCATCTACATCCATGAAATCATCAGCAAAATGATCGTTGTAGTCATCATCATCATTTGATAGATCAGAACTGTGACCATCGACATTGATTATATTATGTGATACTGAAGCATAACCACTGGAGGACTCAAGCCCACTAGCTGGCCCAAATTGTTCCAGAGTAGGAGGGGGACAAACATCATCAGACATCTCCTGAAAAGGAAACCAAGCAAAATGTTAAACCATATTTCATTTTAGTGAAGATAAATGAAGCGGGCGCATGAAGTAGAAATTCTTATTGACAAACCATAGCTAGATGATCACCATAGCCATTATTATGAACAACTTCAATTACCTTTCCCTTGTTGCTTCCGCCAACTTTTTCACCAATAAACACTAAATCAGCAGAGTCTTCATCATTGTCGACGTCAATCACATCACTAATAATAGCCTAGAGAAGTCAAAGAAAACATTTAAGAGTCAGAGATATCTGAGAAAGAAGAGATAGACTCCTAGAGACATCCAAGGAATCTTACACAAACAAGGCAGCAAGCAAGATAGATCCAATGAGCAATACAGAAAACATTTGTACTTTTGTAACTTGTGAAGGAAAAATTTCAGAAATAGAATTATGTAATTAATCAGAGACGATAGCTTTCTATGGGCAAGTTTCATTCACCAGAAACTGTCCAGTGCTGTTTGGAACTATATATCAAATGATAGTCTCCAATATCATATTGAACACAGGATACAAAGGAATATTGCAATTCCAATATTTTGTGTTGGTTCTTGGTCCTCAGCAAACCAGAAAATATCAACTGCGTCAAGAAATAATTCATTTCATACATTTAAGTTGTTAAAGAGAACGAAAGTAAATGGTTATTAGCATTATTAATTTATCTCTAATGCAACCACCCTTTGCCAAAACCTTTGGACTTGAAGATTTAATTATAAATATGAGGATAAGCAATGATCAGAACTCGAAAGTCCAAGCTACGTCCTAGAGGCAGAATGTCTCGTGCATTTTCATGGTAGAATAACTATTCAACAAACTCAACAAACTAAGAGAAATTGTTTTGCCTTGAAATTGAGTAATGGACAGAAAAAAAAAAAAAGAGCTATCGAAATAACAAGGCCACTGATAATGATCAAATCAAATTTGTAAAGAGAAACCCTTCAGCATGTAATCACGAATTAGTTAATAGACACCACTACAGTAAGTTGACAGTGACAAACAAATTCCCTCGAAGATCCCAAGAGGCTACACACAAATCCAGCCACAACACCACTACACTGCTAAACTGAACTGCTAATATAGCATCCTTCTGCAAGTTTTACTCTCCCATTCAAATAGAGGAATCCATAAAACAAAAACTTGGCCAATGTTCGTGATTAAATTAGCAGTCATACAAGCCTTGCCTTCTGTGGGGCACGTATTCCCAGCATAAGAAGTTAGAACAATGCAGGAAGAAGAAAGAAACAACCATATAAGGAAATTTTGAATCATCCAAGGATAACAGAGATAAGTTCATATGTCCTCAACATCTATAACAAATCATGAGTTAATCGTATCAAGTAGCACAGTCTACAAAGTTTATTTCAAAAGAAAAGGAATTCATGTTGAAATATAGCCCACCAAACATAATGTTTACCAATGGACATGATTGCGAGCAAAACCCTTAAAAATTATTATCATAGGTACAGTGACATGTATAGTAAATCCTCACTACAGCAAGAGTCCAGGATTGCCACAGAGTCCCTAAACGTCGACCACTTTAAGGGAAAATAGTGCAATCCCTATTCAAGATTTGAAATAAACAACCCAGATTAATATACCAGGCGAACAATACTGGGAACTTTCAACAAATGCCCAGAACTTCCAGTGGTACGATCAAGCATTCTCAACTCACTAATTCAACTCATTTCAAGACGTCCCTGGCAATAATAGATTAAACAAAGTTCACACATAGCGACCATAAATATAAAGCGAGAAAATTTGGGGACCGTGACTACGAATTCATAGCAAAGATGAATTACGGGTCAACACAAAGCATTAGCAATCGACATAAATTCTGAACACCCATAACAGAAAGATAAAATATTTGCACAATTTTTCAGACCCATGAAGCAAAAACATCCGAAATTTGTCAGAAAACATGTACTTTACAGACCGGTTCTACCTTCTGTTTCATCAGTTTCGTAGGGCGATGAATTGGGGGAGGAATTTCCACAACCTCAGGGTCCATCAACACCGAATTGCTACCTGAATATACTCTCCTCCTGCTTAGAGCGAAAAGAAAACACAAAGATTGCTGCGAAAGTGTGAGGAGAGAGTGTTCATGCGGGTTTCATGGGACGAAATAATAATAAAAACAAAAACAACAATAATAGAGAGAGAAAAGGACTTGGAATTCCGAAACGAATATTGGGGCAGCGGCGGCAGCTCGATTGATCGGCTCATTATAGAGCTTGAAGTGAAAAGTTTCTTCCCGGAGGAATCAACCCCCACTATCAGCGACTTAGCCGCTGAAATTTAAAGGTAAATCGGTTTGATCTCATGCGGGGGGAAAAAAAAATCTTTTCGGGCAGGAAAAGAAAGAAAAAGACACAACGACACTCGTAGTGAGAAATAGCATAGGAAGAGCAAAGAACAGCCTTTTATGGCTTCGCGCCTTCACCGTATGATTTATGAAGAAGCAGTGCATCGACATAGATGGTGACGAAACCGGATTGTCATTTTCAGAAAAAAGGCGCGACTTTCCAATAATTTACGTTCGTGCCACTACATGGTGATCAATTGCGCCCGATACTTCCGCGGTTAGTTTTGTTTTCGGCCCAATTTATTCTAATTATAATTATACTCTTCATGATTTGTGATCCACCTCGTTAAGGTTTTGCATGAAACCGGTCGGTGGCGCGTTCAGTAATTTATTATTTTTTTATGAATATATTGATGATTTTACTTAATATAAGAGATAGTTCATGCATTTAAAATGAAACATAAATTAGTTGCATGAATATCTATTTATCACTTATGAATATTGCCCCCTCTTCCAATTATTATTAATGCACTCGTGTGTGTATTAATGATTTGGATTCACTTGCTTGAATTGGTAAATCAATGCATGTTTACAAATTAAATACTATATGGATTTTTTTAATTAGAAAATTGCCTGTTTAGCTTTTTCTGATGAAGAAATCACTTTTTTGTTAAGAAATTATGATCCTTGTTTGAAAAAGTATTGCTTGCTGTGATGAAAGTTATGGGGAAGTAAAACTTAAAGAGTTAGATGATTTATTTTAACATTGTTAAAAAAATTATAAGGGGTCAGCTTGGTTCTCAGCAAAATCTATCGGGTTTTTTCTTTAAAGCAACAAAATTTATACTTGTTTTTTTTTTCAACTTCCTAAAAAGTTTAGAGCGCTTTTAAATAAATATATTATTTTTTAATGCTAAAATAGAGCTTTTTTATTGAATTTATTTTATAATTTTTAGGGCTAAGTTTTAAAATATACAATAAATATTAAGAAAAGTTATTTTTCAGAGAAATTGTTTTTGGCCAAATTTTTCGTAACTCTTCGGGAACTTAATTTTTCAGTGAATTAAGCTCAGAGACTTTTATATTTATTGCTCCTCGAGAATCTCCCTGTTTAGCCCTAACGGACCAGCTCCCAAAAAATTCAAAATATGATTTTTGGAAAGGTGAACTCCCCATATATTTTATATTAATGTTCTGAAAATAACAATCTCATAAACATGTAACTACTGGGAAAATGTTTTTGGCATTAGAAATTATTTTTTAGCCAATTTTGATGCAATTAAAATGTTTATTTAAAAAATAATTTCATCTTCTTAGAGTATTAAATGTTAAACAAGCAAAACTACAATGTTGCCTGTATTTTAACTCATCAATTATGAGAAACAATCTAATACAAATGGAAAAAAAAATTCATCGATTATTTTTTCAATGCAAGGGTTTAAATATGAGCAAAATTCAATTTTTTTCAATTTCAAACAAAGCTAATGGCTTAATATAATTTCTTTTTAACTATTGAAATAATTAGAAATATCTTATAAACAAGCAGAGTAAACTTAATTTGGTAAGTAGTAACAACTATCTTAAATGAAACGAGCGTTATAAGTTTTGGAAATCTAACTTCAGGACTCCGAAGCACCGAGAAACACTTTATGTTAATATTCCCATAATACCCTTCATTATTAAACCTTTTATATTTAACATTAAAAATAATATATTTGTTTTAGAAAAGAAATTTCAAGAAGTCCTAGAATTATAATGTTAAACAATCGTTTTACAGATGATTTTTTTAAAAAAAAGATTAAAGGATGCTTGGATTAACTTATTTCAAATTATATTGAGTATATATGACGTGTTTTGTCTTGTAAAATATAAAAATATTTTTTTTAGCTGCTTTCAAACACCTACTAAGTATGATTATTTGAACCAAATAAATTTTGAAAAAATTGGTAAGAAATTCCCATTTGGTAATTTTAGTAGTAGTAAGAGAGGCCCTGAATTAGAATGTTGTTACTTTCTGCATATGAAATTTTATAAAATACTTGTACTTTTTGTGTATAAAAATATATCATGTTTTTCTGGTTAGTAAAATTTTTTAAGAGAGACCTTTTTGCCAAGTTTCCAGTTTTTCAAAAAGAATATTCTCCTAATCACATGCTTATAAGATATTGTGGCACGAATTGGTTATATCGGAAGGAGTTACAATTGATAATAGGTACCCAAAAACTCACGACACATGCTCTATCAGCAAATTTCGATTAAGTATTTGTTTGGATTTTATTCAAAATTAACAAAACTATGGTTTTCTTCAAAAAAAATTCAAACACGCCTTAAAATGTTAAAATTAATTTTAGCCTAAATCCTTAGTTTTAAGTCATGTATACCAACTCAACAAAATATATTTCTCAAAACAGTAAATATAAATTAAATTTATTTAACAATTATTTTCTCACTAATCCAGACGAGCCATAGGTTCAATCTCTAATCCCTTTTTAAATGCGTTCTTCTTATGGGTTTTAGTATAACAATTTTTTGTGGTAAGAAAAATTATGCAGTGTTTTTGAAGTTATGCTGATAATTTGCTGTGCCTATTCATCAATATTTGTTTATTATAAACTTATGTTTGGTCATCAAGATGAAAAGATATTCATTGTTCATCATCTTTCTATGGTTCATTATATAAAACTTGTCAATTGAAATAAATCATATTATTTATGAGTCTTTACAATTTTTATGGATAAGCTGGAAATATTATTTACCATTTATTTTTGGAATTTTTTTTTTTAAAATTACGATCCATTGTATCCATGGCATGAAATGAATTGTCAGTCTAATTCAACTTAGTCGGCTCGTCAGGAAATGAAAGGGACAAAATTTCGTTAAGTCAAACTAAGAAGGAAAGCAAGAATTTAAAGCAATAGATTATTTCAATTTGGGCATAGAGAATTTACACTTCATTAGTCTCAGAAGGGAGAGGGAAAAATTTTAAAGGAAAAAAAAAATGCAACAACACGCGTATTGAAGATTTATTAGTTTTAGATGTCACTTTTCAACCTATAAATTAACGAATTTATCAATAATACAAATTAAATGACCAAATGCGAAATGATTGGTTGAAGAGGCTAGTAAAGGCGTTTCAATTTCGTTATTTAAGAAACAAATGCCTTTTGGTCCTAAATAATAAAATATAAAAATCTTAAATTCTTCTATTACAAATATTGTCCAATTATTAATAAAACCGTTTAAAGTCGATCAAAAGGATTGATTAAGTTTTCTAACAGCAAAAACAATTTTAATTTGAAATATTTGAAGACCCATTTAAATCATTTTATTTTGGATTTAGAATTTTTTTGTCCTAAAATAATTCATGAAGGAGTCATAGGCATCTGAAAGAGAGTGATGAAAAACAGGCAATGTCATCATTTCTATAAAAAAATGTAATCAATGTTGGTTTTTTGCGGATATTTTCAAATACCGACAAATTTTTTGCGGATATTTTAGGATAAAATATTCTTAACCCTGTTATTTTTAAAGACATGCAGCCGATAATCCCCAAACACCAATATCATCTTTATCCACATGCGCTTTATTCGGACGAACCTTCAGACCATGAAATTCAAACGTTCACATTACTGACTGAGAAAAAGTAAAAGCTGTTTGAACTTAAACGGATCAAAATGACTTTGAAAGTCTATACCCTAACAATTTTGACCATTATATATATATATATATATATATTCATTATGAGAAAATAAAATGTCGATTTGAATATTTTCATTAATTATGGATAAAATAGAAAATTTATTTCATTTTCAGACAACTAATAGCTTAACATCAAAGCTGTTCCAATAAAATAATTAGAATCACCTTGTAATAAGGATTAAAAGAAATGTTTTGGAGATCAGGCAAAAAAAAAAAGGTATGGGAGAACCCAAAAAAAAAAAGAAAAGAAAGAAAGAATGTGTATGCACAGCAGTCCACACGTTTTAAGCTGCCATCATTTGGTTTTTACCAAAAGCTCCAGCATAAGCTGCATATCAAATTAAGGCTCTTGATCTCTTGTATTTTCTTCTTTTGAGAATTGTTATTCAGTTTCATTCCCAAAAAGGAAAAAAAAAAAAAGTAAGACTCAGTGGAATCCTTCGAATGAAAATTGAAGGATCCTTTTATAGTTTTAAACATGAACAAGATCACATACTAATAAGCCTTTAATCCGAGCAAACAAATTCTTGACGATAACATTAAGGATTACACCTTTTTGCATTCAAAATAAATTCAGTGAATCGTTCGAGGACTGAGATTAGTGCATCAGTATGTGTGAGTTCAGTTTGCGTGCAGAGTCTACGCAGTGGAAATTCAACGGTCTGCATTGATTTAAAGATCATGCGGTTTACATAACACTTATGTGGACATTGGATCAAGAAAATAATTTATGGCCGTTGGATCCCACTGTGTAGGCTCTGCACAACAATCCCCTTGTGCAGAGAATCAAACCACGTCTTTTAGAAATTTTATATACTTGGACAATTTGATTGGATTTGGTTTTCAGAAATTATCGGGTATGCTGCCAAGAGGAGAGACACCTATAGAGGCCACAAATGGAAAGGGGCTTCCCCTTCCGACATTCCATGACACTTTCAAGTACTATACCATGCAGCTGTTTCTCCACATCTTCTATGGATTGGCAAGCATCTACAATCTGCATCATGAGAAACACAAGTTCAGTTTGCAAATTAAACACTTGCATGGACCCCCCCCGCACCAAACAAAAACTGACTCCAAGCAACAATCCATTAAGCAATTATCATCATCATCATTTTTCCTTTTTTATTTTTTTGTAAAGAACTATATGGTATACAGCCAACCAATAAGAATAATCTGGATCACATGCTTTACCCAGAGTTTGAAGTGAGCTGCGCTATTCATTACTTATAAATAAATCACTTTATAAATCTAGATTCAGGTTCAAATATTATCAAATCCCAAACGAGGGTTATCCTTCCCAAGTCTTTCTTCTTTTTTTTTTTTTTTTTTGGTTCCATTTACAAGACTCAAGATATTATCTTAAGAAGCATTGATTTCCTTCCAGCCGATCAAAATGCTGTTGGTATTGTTATCAAGTCT